TCAGAGCCGAGGGGGCCCAGGGTCCAGCCCTGCCCTTGGCGGGAGCCTCCCGCGGAAAACGCTGCCGGGCCGGCCCGAACCTGACCTACCTGGCTGCGGCGGCCGGTCGCACGGGCGTCCCGTGCTGTCGGGCCAGGCTCGCGGGGCGGGGGAACTGAGGTCGGCAGGCACCGAAACACTGGTGTCAGATACCAAGGCCGCGAGCCGCTCAGGGAACCTCGGACGCAGCCCGTCCCGCGGCTCCTCTAATAAGACGTCTGAAGAGGCGGCGCTCCCTGGTGACGTCACAGGACGACGACCAATAGTAGGGCGTCTTCCGGTCCCGGAAGTGACGTATGGGGCAGATGGCCTCTTGTGGACCATCAGAACTGTGGGTAGGCCGGGCGCCTGCGAGTCTGCTTATTCCCTTGTCTCGCGCAGACCCGGGTGCAAGCGCTTCCTAAGGCGTCGCGCTGGCCTTCCCCGCGTCGGATCCCGTCCCTGGGCTGGGCACCGTTCCGATCGTTGGGCAAATGCTGTGGAAGAAACTAATTATAGGGTGCTGGTTGACAAAGACAGATCTGTCTTCTGATGCTGGTTTATCATTGAGAGAGGTGATGAGGGCACCCATTTTACTAGGGGGCACCTGAGTCTGTAAGCTTTGCTCAAGATGACGCAGCGAGGGGAACCAGCATTCTTGACCCCAGGTCCAGCCTTTTACGCCCACATTCACTTTGGCCCTGCTGGCTCTGCTAGCGGCCACGGGCACCCTTTCCTGAGCAGGTGGGTCTCCACCTGTATCCCACTTTCCTCTCCATTCCCGGAACCCTGCCCAGCTCGCACTGCATTCCCTTTATGACCAGCTGGTTCAGACAAAATCCATGCCATTGTTGCTGACCCGGGCAAAACTAGATTCGAACTTGCTTCCAGTGGAGGGAGTAATCCAGATTCCTAGATACTTCATATTATTGGAAACTAAAGTACCTATATTTTAAAATGTTAAACCTTGCATTTCTGGGGTAAACCCAAGTCTGTCATGGGGTTACATATATCATGTATATGTTACACTGTTGAAATGAGAATAGTAACATTCTGATTTTTACATCTTCGTGTATAGTTGAGAATGTCCTGTAATTTTTCTTACCCTATCTATGACTGATTTTTTTAAAAAATCCTGGTAATAAAAGCCTTCTATAAAACCGAGAGAGAGAGAGAATGAATGGGACTTGGCTTAGACCACATGAGTCTTGTGGCCCAGGTCAGGACTAAGGTCTGGACCCTGAGCCCAGGGCTCCTTTTAGACTCCTCATTGCCACTCAGCCACATGGAGGTGTGCACAGCCCAGCTGCCCCTCTACACTGAGTGTCTGGGTCAGGAAGGTGCTGGGTAGATGAGTGGGAAACAGATGTACAAATAGTTGGATGAATGGATGGATCTGTGGGTGGATAGATGGCTTTCTCTCTACTCTGAGCTCTATGGCCATCATGAAGTGGGTGACTCAGTACTTACACCACCCTGGAGCCACCATCCTGGGTCCACTCTTTAATGGCTGAGAGGTCCTAACACCTTTCAGCCCAGCTTCCTCATCATGCCCATCAGGCTGTGACCAGGGTGCACAGGCTCAGCATAGTGGCTGGCCCGTGGCAAATGCAGACCATCCCATCCCAGACAGCAAAGTCTGGCTCCCTTGCTCTAATTGTGCCGAGGCCCTGGAGCTCAGGTCGGGTGGAGCCTTTAATGTGTGTGTGTGGTGATGGAAGGTCCTGTCCTCTACCCTCCCGGCTACTGCTGAGATGCCCATCAGCCAAAGCTAGTGACCCATGGAGGCTTGGGTCTGCATCATTGTGAAGATGCTGTCACATGGCATGGGGTCTGGCCCTTGAACCACTGCCAGACCCCCCCAGAACCTCCCTACTCTCTGTCCCCGAGTTGGGGATCCCCCTCCATGCCTCTCCCCAGGCTCTCAGTTCTTTCTCCTCCCCTGGCATAACCCTCACTGAGTTTACACTTTTGAAAATAAAAGCAGGGAAAGAAGATGTCTTTAGGCAAATTCTGCTTCTGCCCTGTGACCTGACACTCCAGCCAAGGGGAACATGCAGAAATCACTTTCTGGAGCTGGTAAAGAAAAATGATCTGAGGACAAAATACAAATGGCACTTCCAGAAGGCACTCCACCCAGCAGGCTCTGTGTGGAGGCTACAGGGCTGGCGTTTCTGGTAAGGGCTCCCAACTGTATACAACTCTGCTTTCGGTGACATCATGCCAAGAGCTGGAAATCGAGTGTGGAATCTGGCAAATGCTACAATATGGGGATAGTAGAACATTTACCAGCACAGCATTGGGCAGGAGTTGTGGTAAACAGCAGGGAGGGAGGGGCAGGGCCGAAGTCCAGAGTCAGGACAGAGCCAATGAGAGTCCCTCTCCTTTGTCAAGTTCATTTTATTAAAATATACAGGACTGAATATTGGTGGGCTCTGAGAACAGGAACCTCCCTTCCAGGCCATGCCCAAGGGAGACACTTCTGCCATGCAGATATGCGGCCAGTCCACATCCCAGCGTAGGGGACAGGCCCCTCCTGGCTGGACATGCAGCCAGGCTGGCTGAGACCAAGGGGGCAGGGGCATGGTGGTGATACCCTCCTGTGGTTTTGGCCCCTGAGAAGCAGAGCTACACCAGCTGGGAGGGCCAGGCTGGGTGGGGGGCAAGATCCCTGAGCCAGGGGAAGCTGATGCTCTCCTGAAGGAGAGGAGAGGGACCCCCCCATCAGACTAGAGATGGGGTGTCAGTGCAACTCCAAGGGGAGGATCACCTGTGTGTGGGTGCCAAAGGGACCTCGTGGCCGAACCAGGCCAGTCTCCACAGCCTCTGCCATTTTGTCCTCCCTCACAGAGCCCTGCCCACCCTGGGGCCAGGCCTGAGCAGAGACAGGGTGGCAGCCAATGGAATGTATGGATGGAAGTGTCCCTCAGAAGGGCCCGTGCTGCCATTCTGTCTTCTGGAGGTCCCTGTGAACCTGCCACTGGCCTCAGGTGGAAATTGCCCCATCCCTAGGGCAGAACCCAGCCAAGCAGCATCCCAGAGTTTGTGCTTTTGAGTGTTGGTGACCTGGGCTGGGGATAGGCTTTGAGCCCCCACTGCTCTAAAGCACAGAATGGACCCCCAGGTTCCTTCCCTGGGTCACCTGTATCAGGGCTGTTGGCATCCAGGCCTCGGCCACCAGGAGGGCCTTGTCTCGGAGAAGCAGTGTCCTCAGCTCCCCTCGTGGGCTCCACCGGAGCTGCTGGGGTGCTTGTGCTTTTTGTATGGGGTTGGGGTGAGCCCATGTGGAGGAGTAGCCACACTGCTGCAGGACCCTGACCAGGAAGGAGGCTCAGCCAAACTGCTCAGCCAAGGGAGACAGAAGCCGAGGGCACAGAGGGAGGAGAAGCCCTTCCCAAGCCTGCTGGCCACCTGGGCTCCCTGGCTGCCAATCCCTGAGCCACGTTTCCTCTTCTTGGGACTTATGATGACCTACGATGACCTATGATGACATACAATGACCTTAGGGCAAACAGTCTGGAGACTGAGGGGTGGGGGCAGCCCTGCCACTGTATCCCCACTGAGCCACACCTGGGCAGACAGTCCCCCTCACATTCACCACCAGGAAACCTGGCCCTGGGCCTGAAGGGCCCCCTTCCTGGGGTGGAGGGAGAACGGGGCCCAGTGGGAATGTGGTTAGTGGGCAGGTTGTGGCCAGGGGGACAAGGAGGCCAGAGCAACCCCAGCCTGGCCCATGGTGCTGGGAACTGAGGGTGGTAGGAGGGCAGGGCATGTAGGCTCACACAGGAGGGGCTTTAGTTCTGGAGACTGGACCCCACTCTCTGCAGGGAAGCTAAGCGCTTTCTGCTCACACCCAGCGGCTGTAGTCACGGCTCCTCCAGCTGCCCACCCCAGAGGCAGCCTCCCCCACCAGCCTGGGACAGGGCTGGCTGGGGGTGTGTGGCTCATGTCACCTGGACCCAGATCCCAGCCAGCTGCAGCCTCTCCCTGACCTCTGCCCCCTCTGCTAGCCCATAGGAACGGCATGTGTGTATGTGCGTGTGTGCGCATGTGCATGCGTGTGCATGTGTATCTGGAGCAAATTGTTCACTTTTTGCAAATGTATTAGAAAAAAGTTTCTCGTAGAGGCTGCTCCTCACAGGACTGAGGTTCTTTTGGGGGCTGTGGTGGCAAGGCCCACGCGGGACCCCTCATGGGTCCTAGATGACGTTCTCGAACAGCTGCATGGAGCTCATGATATTCTCGTCCTGCATGGGGAGTGGATGAACGGTCTGGTCAGACCCTGAATGGCCAGGGTGCAGTAGGCCTACCATTAGCCACCTCAAGCAGATTATTGCCAGGGACCCCTCTGTCTGTGTCCCTGGTCGGGGAGCCAGCCAGGCACAGTCCGTCTTTGCCCCGTGCTCAACCACAGCTCATCTGGGAGTAGCTGGCTCACTGCCGAACAGGCCTCCAGGCTGGACACCCAGATCGAGGCCAGCACCAACTGAAAGGCTGCTCTGGGAGTGAGGCAGGTGGCCAAGGCCCGGTGTCCCCCCACCCCAAAGGGTGCTTTGGAGAGGAGAATCAGCAGAGCTGGGAGGCTCCAGGTGCTTGTCCCCCCCGTGTGACCCTACCTGAGGGCCATAGGACCTCATCGCCCTTCCGTTGGCCCCATGTCTGCCCCTCCAACTCCAGGCATGCAAGGGCAGGGCTGAGGGACAGTGCACTCAAGTGGGCTGTGGCTGGCAGGAGTGGGTGGGAAAGGCCTGGGACTGGCAGGGGCAGGACACTGGGTGTTCTCAACCTTTGATGCCACCTACCTTCTGGCAGGTCTCCAGGAACTCATCAATAGTCACCACTCCGTCCTGATTCCGGTCCATTTTCTGTAACCCAAGCCATGCCCTCAGTGTGTCTGTGTCTCACCAGAAACAGCCCCTGCCCCAAGCCTGTGCACATAGCAGTAGACGGGCTCCCTCAGGTCAACCTGTTCCCTCTGTCCCCTACCCTGTATCCCGGCCACATAAAGTGCCTTCCTCAGCCACCTCCTACCCCACAGATGACCTCTCCCCAGTCTGCTCCCCGACCCTAGCTGCTTCCCATGCCTCTTGGGGTACTTCCTAGAATGCATCCTGACAGGCAGCCAGGGCAGATGGAGCAACTGAGGCATAAGAGGGCCACATGTCCCATAGACACCGTGGGGTCACCCCAACCCACCCTTCTCACAGACAGTTTCTGGGGGAGGGGCTGGGGGAGCTTCTGAAGGTACCAGAACAGTGGCCTGGGTGTCAGCCCTCCCAGAGACAGATTCAGCAGATTGGGAAGTGGGATGATGTTTTAATTCGTTCCTCGAGGTCCTGACAACCAGCCAGGGGGGAGATGCCAGTTTAACCGCTTCTGGGAGCCTTCGGGAGTGGGGCCCAGAGAGGGGAGGGGCTTGTCTAGGGATGCTGGAAGCAGGAGCCCCTTCCTCCTCTGCTGCCCGTCCTGCATACTCAGGTGGGGCGCTCACCTGGAAGAACCTCTCCACGTGCTCCAGCGGCGCATCCTCCCTCAAGAGGGGGTAAGTGTGCCGGCCCATCATGTCATAAATGGACTTCATGATGGCCAGCATCTCCTGGAGGGGCGGATGGGCAGGCATGGGTCTGGCTGCAAGGAGCAGGGAGTGCGAGGGCCCAAGGGAAGGGGGCTGCATCAAAGGGCAGAGGATCCCTCCAGAACAGCTCTGAGTGAGTGCGAGGGGCCCCCATCCACTCTGCCCAGTGCCAGCTTCTGGATGTCCAAGAAAAGCTGGAGATAGATTTTTAAGTTCAGTCTCCCAAATGTGAAACTGTGGCCACTCTTTCATATACAAAATATGTTTGGGCCAAAAATCTCAACTGTGGCCCCTTGGGGTGGGGGTCCCCACATGCCTTAAGAGACCATACTGCCCCTCGATTGGTGGGAGCCAAGGCTAGCCACCCCCCTCAGCTTCTCCACCTGTGTGTCCCCCAGGCCCTCCCATAGGCAGGGATGACACGAAGACACTTGTTGAACTGGATTAAAATGTGTGTGGGACACATAGACCCTACTCCCCACACCTAGGAGACAAGGACAGAGAGAACCCCTTGATGGCTGTCCCCTGCCTTGTCTCTGGGAAGAAAAGGAGTGCAGGACAGCCCAGGCAGCAGCAGACCGGCCACATCCAGCCACCCGTACCTCTCTGGTGATATAGCCGTCCTTGTTAATGTCATAGAGGTTAAAAGCCCATTTGAGCTTCTCCTGGACCGTTCCTCGCAGGAGGATGGAGAGGCCAACCACGAAGTCCTGAGAGGGAGGGAGAGAGGGTGCGGGGTGACAATTTGACATCCAGATTTTATTTTCAGTCCCCTGTGATGCTTCCACTGAATTCACAGCTCTAGAGTTTCCAATACAGAGTGGGGAGAGTGTCCATCAGGTCGGCAGTGTGCATGTGTGTGTATATGTGTGAGAGTGTGCACATGTGCATGTGCGTGCACATGCATGTGTCTGCGCATGTGTGAGGGCATGCATGTGTGAGCATGCACGCACATACGAGTGCACACATGTGAACATGCATGCACATGAGTGGGTACATGTGCACATGTGTGACGAGCACATGTGATAGGTGCATGTGTGTTGTGCACGCATGTGCATGTATGAGGGCATGCATGTGTGAGCGTGTGTGCTCATGCAAGTGTGTGCATGTGATCGTGTGTGCACAAGAGAATACATATGTGACTGTATGCATGTGTGAGTGTGCATTTCCGCACGTATGATTAGTGCATTGTGTGTGCATGTGCATGAGTGCATGTTAGTGTGTGTGTGCACACGTGTGATGAATGCATGTGTGTGCACATGTACATATGAGCGCATAAGTGCATTGTGAGGGTATGCATGTGCGAGCATGCATTCAAATGTGAGTGTGCATGTGTGATCATGTGTGCACATGAGTGCACATATGTAACTATGCATGTGTGCACGTTCACACATGTGATGAATGTACGTGTGAGCACGTGCGTGCGTGAGCATGCATTCATGCACACATGTGCACGAGTGTTGTATGTGTAAATGTGTATGTATGTGTGGGTGTGCATGTGTTCATGTGTGTGCATGAGTTCATGTGTAAGTGTGCATGCATATGTGAGTGTGCATGTGTGTGAGTGTGAGCATGTGTGCATGTGCACGTGTGGCAGGGATGGCATGGTTGGCTGATACTGATGTTAGGGTGCTTCAAAACATCCAGCTTCAGAAGCTAAGCTAACAGAGCTCAGTTCTGGGGTCAGGACAAACCTCTGATGGTAGCTGATACTAATGTGACAAGACAGAGATGTTCCAGTGGCTTCCATATGGAAATGTCAGCTGTTGTGTTACAACAGCTGGTGTGATGCAAGTCTTTCCCTCCACTTCCCGAAGGCTGGTGGGCTGAGCCCCCTGCCCTGCAGGATCCTCCAGGCTATTCAGAAAGAAGGGGAACAGAGAAGGCCTGTCTCAGAACTGGGTGGAGGGTGGCAGACCGCACAGGGATGGGGCCACACACCACAAGGCTTAGTCCTAGCTCAAACGTTACGCTTTCTGAGTCTGAGGAAGCTTGTGCCATGCAAGAGAAAGACTAAGGGCAATAGAGGAAAACAATCTGGAAGAAACAAAATTATTCCAGGGGGAAAATTGAAGCAACACAAATGGTTAGATTCAGAGACTGGAAATCTGACATCTCTAAAATAAGAATAGGAAGCTATAAAATGGGAATAATCAAGAACAAGAAAGGGGGGTGAAGAGGCCCGCTCTGGAGGGACCCCCCACTTGACAGCAGGAGTGCCAAGAAGAATGGAGGACATGGAGGGAAGCGAGTCGAGAAGAGAAGCCTTCCTAGAATGGAAGGCTGTGTGTGTGTGTCCAGGGTCTGCTGAGTCATCAGTGTCAGCCACAACGCCTGCAAACAGCCCACTGTGTCACCTGCAGGCACGTATCGTAATGACATTTCCAAAACCTGGGTGCAAAGAGAGGATCATACAAGCTTCCAGAGAAAAAGCAAAAGCAAAGAGAAACACAGAATCAAGTCCCGCACACAGTGCCAGGGATCAGCAGGCTTTGCCTTTGATGGCAACACGAGGGGCAGGAAGCCAGTGGCATGATGGCCACCATCCTGAAGGAGCACCGCCTCCCACCAACACGTCAAGCAAGAGAGAGAACAGAGTGAAGACATTCCCAGATGTCCAAAGCCTCGAAAGTCACCTCCCACATACTCTCTGTTTCCCAGGAAGCTGCTGGCAGCTGTGCCCCTGAAAACAGAGAGTAAAGCAAGAAAGAGGGAGGTGACAGGAGTCCTGAACCAGGAGATGCAACACAGGAGAGAGACGAAGAGTTCCACAGGTGGTGCTCAGTCCCAATGGAGGATGAAGCTGGGGAAGCATCATCAGGGGGGGTGCTGGTCCAGACAACTGGGGAAGGGTGAGTGAATGATGAGGTCACAGACCCGCCCGAGGAAAATGAAAACTCGAGACAATTGTCAACGGCAGGCAGAATCAAAATGTATGCAGGGAGGGGAGTGTCATCAAAGCTCAGCGGGGCTCAGATTCACATGCTTGGGGTGATCGAGAGTCCTTGTCCACTCTGCATCCTGTAGCTCTGTTGGAAGCCAGAGGATGGGAAAAACTTATGTATGAGAGGCCCCAGTCCTCACCATTGCATCTGAGACTGGACAGCCAGGAGGAGAAGTAGAGGCTCGCTGCTGGGAGATGGGGAGACAAAGAGTGACAACTGGCTAAAACGGGAAGGCGGTTGCCTCCTTGGGTGTGTGTGGGTGGTTAAGCGCTGTTTTCCAAGGCACACCCTGGAATCTATGGGTCTCTCAAAGGCATGGGTGTAACAAGTGAAGCGAATGCAAGCGTGACTTCAAGGAGAAACCATGTGATACTTCCTGCATGCCCAAGTCGAGGCAGAGATCACCCCCGCACGATTTACTCAGCAGTGGACGTCAGAGCATCTCAGGTCACATCACTCCCTGTTCCCTGGGGACTGGCACACTTTCCCCATGGGAGGTAGAGCCATGGAGTCCCGCAAGGACCCCCTTCCGTGTAGGCTAGGGGAGGGGCTGAGTGGAAGCCCTCATGCTCAGCCACGACTGAGGAATGTCCCCTTCCAGTGTCTCTGAGCATGTGTGTGTTATAGCAGTGACGGCGCCTAGGGAGAGGTGGGTGGGAATGTGCCCTGCAAGGCCATTGGCCTATCCTCAAAGAAACACAGAGGACCCCAAGTCCAGCCAGCTCGCTAGTTTTCAGCCCCAGGGAGCACAATGGCATGTGCGACTATTGCTGGTTGTATTTGACTCTGCTCTTAGCTCCGAAGTGTACAGAGCCCATCACATCCACAGCTCTGCTTTGTGGCTGACCCTGGGGAGAGTCCAGCAAAGGTGAGGGGCTCCTGCAGTTATGCTGTGACATGGAGAGGTCTTGGTTTCCAGGCTAAAACACCGCAGGGTGCTCACGAGGGGCACAGGTGGAGCTCAGAGCAGGACTCAGCAGAGGGTGGGAGCAGAAGCTGTGACACAGTTGCAGGCCTTCTCTCTGCTTGTTGAAGTCACACTCAGGTGGTCTGTGTCCCAGTCAGAGGCCTGCACAGGCTCCCTCTGGTGGGCATGTCCCAGAGCACTCAGGGGGAGCTGCAGAGCAGCGGGTAGGCCTGAGGGGGTCGTGGGGCCAAGGCTCCACGCGGCTGTGCTGAGCTTTGCTGGGTTTGCCAGTTTACTTCCTGGAAGCCTTTGGATGAAGGCAAGGAAGTGATCACATTTTACCAACACAATAAACTTCCATTAACACGTGTCTTGTCTCTCAAGGAGATGCAGGACTGGAGTCACTGTAAATACCCATCAGCCACCTGAGCTTCTGTCTTCAGAGCTCACTGAGCCTGAGGCCCAGGGGCCGAGTGTTGCTCCCATCCTGTCGGGGTCCTTCCCAGCCGTAAGCAACGGGAAGGGGGCTGCTGCTTGGATGGTCCCTATAACTGCACCTGCAGAGAAGCGCGGGTGGCCCAGGATGCACCAAACGGAGGGGTTGCAGCACCAGCGCCCCCAACTTAGCCACTGATAGCACCCCCAAAGACCCACCACCAACCACCTTAAAGGGGCAGTTATAGGGACCATCTAAGACCCCTCCTGGGGGAGCGAAAGAGATGCCCACAGGAGGTGACCTAGACCTTCCAGCCACCTGTCGCACGCCAGGTCCCTGCTGAGCCCTCCGATCCTCCAATTTCAAAACAAGAGAGACCACCCACAATGCCCTGGTGGGTCCGTCACACTCAGGTCCTCCCCGCACTTCACTCCTGGACGCCTCAGGTGCCTCCTGAAGGATCTGCAGGAACTGGTCACAGGGGAGGGGCCGGGGGACAATGCATTTTCCCTGTTTACTCCTGTGTACTAATTGGATTTTTACGACATGCAGGTGTCACTGAGAATAAAGATGAAAACACTGCATATTCACATGTGCACAAGCCCTAAGAGCGTGGCCGGACAGGGTGGGGCCCTGTGGTCAGTGAGCCGGAGAGCAGGTTGGTGGCCTCAGTGAGTGTCAGTGTGCTGCCGGCTGCGCTGGCGGCCGTAAAAGGAACAGAGCAGTGTTAGGCCAAATGATTGAGATATTATTATCCCCCAGGCTGGTCCAGGGGCTTTCTGAACAGCCTGCTGGCCCTGTGGCTTTCCTGTCACCGCCCTTGGCCCTTGCACCAAGTGGTTATTGATCATGCCTAGCTCTCAGCAGAGCTTTCTTCCTAAAAGAGGTTTCAGCTTTTCACCTGCTGCTATTTTTAGGGGCTCCATAGAGGGGCCTCCTTCAAATGATCTGGCGGCTGGGCCTGGGTGGGACCTACAGCCACCCACATAGAGCTGGGGGGCCTTCGTGGGAGGCTCACTCAGTGTCTGGCCGGGACGGCGGGAGCCTGCTTGAGCTGGGTGCTCTGTTTTCTGGCAAGGGGGTGAATTTGGTTGCTGGGTGCCCAAAACCCACCGTCAGCACAGACCCCGGAGTGAGGCCTTGCCCCCTTTCTAAATGCATATTCACGCTGGGTGGCAACCACCTTAGGGTGCCTCGGTGGCTCCCTGGGTTCAGCGGGGCTGGAATGGAAGACAAGGCTGGGAATAGGGTAACTGATGAACAAAACCAAATTCCAGTGACATTGGTTAGGCCTGGGCCAGCCAAGCACAGTCCACTCATTCCCCGGGGGATACGCTGGGCCATGTCCTCCAGGATCACGTCTGCCCCTCTGGATAGCCAGAAGACGTGGCACCAGGGCAGGCTGCAGGGACGGCAGGGACCTACCTCAAAGTGGATGGCCCCATTCCCATCAGCATCGAAGGCGTTGAAGAGGAAGTGCGCGTAGGTGGTGGCATCTGGGGGAAATGAAGTGCGGGTGTTTTGAGGCTGCTTGGAAGCCAAGCCCCCACCCCAGGCAGCCCTGCCTGGGGGGCAGGTTCAGCTGGGTCCCCACTTCCAATAGGACAGAGGTAACACTAGGCTTCCAAAAAGCTAGTGGTGGAGGTAAGGGTCCCCTCCTTGTAAAAAGGATGCCCATCTTCTACAAAACAGCCACAGAGACACAGTGGGGCTTTGAGGGGGTGGGGTGTTGGCCTTGGACTCACCTCCCTGAGGGAAGAACTGTGCGTAAATGAGTTTGAAGGTGTCTTCATCCACCAGGCCCGAGGGACACTCCTGCAACAGAAAGCTACACCCTTAAAGCCACCTCGGCCACCTCCGCCCTGCACCCTGATTCTCCTTCTGGGTGATGCCTGCTGCCCCGGGTATTGCCTACTCCAAACCCCCAGGAGAGCCTGGTGGTGGAGCAGGGGAGGCAGATCCCTTCAGGCCAGTAGGGTCCATCCATACACCCCTACTCTGTGTCAGCAGAGACACAGAAAGAAGCATGGACAGTCAGAACACTGATGCTGGGGCTCGGTCACCCCAAAACAGCTCTCCCACAAATCGTGAGCCCCACCGAGTCCCCTGTGGTATTTGCTGTGCATGGAAAAGTCTCTAAGAAGGTCTGCCTGGGCCACGGTTCCCCTTCCTGGACCCAGGGACAGGGGTCTGGGGACTAGGGTCCCCCTTCCCAGAGCTAGGGACAGGGGTCTGGGTGGGCCGCAGTCCCCCTTTCCAGAGCCAGGGACAGCAGTCTGGGGGTCGGTACCCCTCCCAGGAGTGGGGTCACTCACGTTCTTGAAACCCCTGTAGAGGGACTGCAGCTCCTTCTTGGTGAACTTAGTCTGTGCCTGCAGCTGCTCCAGCCCCTCTGGCTGGTGACGCACTGTGGACAGCTCCAGCTCACTGTCGCTGCTGTCTGGAGAGAACACAGACCAGGAGGACATGTATCCGCTCCTCCAGCTTGCTGCAGGGTGGGCGCCAGGCCATGGGCTGGCGTCGGGGGTGGAGGGCTCTCTCTGTATGACTGCATGTGCGGTCACACAGGCTGTGGGCTGCACAGATGGGGGCTACAGTGGAGCTGCACGCCCAGGCCGCCCTGCCTCTCGCTCCTTGCACAGTACGGGCCCCCACTCATTGCCTGGAGTGTGCCCACGGTGTCAGCCACATGTGGGGGGACAGGGACTAGGAGCCGGCCTTGTCCTGGAGAGACAATAAACAAGGGGTTGCCGGGGGTAGGGGGCGGTGGTAAAAGACAGTGAGATGGCTCAACAGACCCTCAACCTTCGAGACCCAATTCCTGGCCGCCTCCTTCATGCATCCCTCCCTGTCTTCTGCCAGGAATGGGAGGGCTCCCCTCTTGGCCCAACCAGCCCAATGTGTTGCTGCTTGGCTGCATTTGGGGGATTACTCATACCGAAAAGAGGTCAGCCCTCAAGTGCCCATCAGGCAGAAACCGGCCCTTCTTTTGATAACAGCGCATTCAAATGTTAGCCTTGGCGGGGATGGGGGTGGCTAGGATAGTGTGGGGTCCAGGTGATCTTTACCTTTTTATGTTTTTTTTTTTTTTTTTTTTTTACCTTTTCCTAATTTCTTTTGGTAGGGCATCCATCACTTTTATAATACAAACTAGAGCTACAGATGGCAGCACTCAGTGCTTACACCTGCTGAGCAGCCTGGTCACATAATCACAGACCTTTCCACCAAGAAGGGAAGCATGGTTCCCACTGCACTGTCACCACCCCAGCCTCCTCTGGCACCCTGAGGATGGAGATGATCTGCAGAAACCCTGCCCTGCCCACCCCATGCCCGAGGAGCCCAGCACAGAGCCGGGCACGGCCTCTCCCGTGAGCACTGCCCACTCCCACTAGCCAAGAGCAGCCTGCAAACTGCCCAGCTGCCAAGCTCTGCTGCTTTGGTCACATACCCCCCAGTCTTCAAGACAGCGATTTCACACCATCCTCTCTTTAAATTGCCATCCTGACCCTCCAGGTACTTCCTATATCACTGAGAAAGTAGAAGCCACAGAAGAAAATTTACCCAACTTCCTGCCACCACGTCCACCTGTGTCTGGCCCAGACCTCTACTTTTTCTCCCAATCTGGTGATGAACTGTCCCTGTTCCTGGCTAAGTCCTCCACTTATGCAGTGGGTCCCTGCCCAGCCCCTCTCACCTACTCAAGCATGAGGCTCTGGAAATTCTCTCCACCCTTCCCTCTCTCCTCACCACCTTTCTTCCCTCCTTTCTAGATCATTCCCATCACTGTACGGACACCTGGCAATCCTCTGTCAAGTTTAACATAGGCAAACTTTGCAAGCCGGCAATTCCACTCTGGATTCTAACATCCTAAATAGAATCTCACCTAGCTAAGGGGAACTGCATAAGGATACTCATGGCAACAGTATTTTTGATGGGGGAGCTGGGGGGCAGCCCGGGGATCTGTCAAAAGTGGGATGGGGGAGGATATAGGGGATGCACACCAGGGAGAACCATGCAGTGGATTAGAGGTACACATCAACACACAATTCCAAGGAACTCAGTGAACCTCATGGAGAAAAAATAAAATGAAAACCACACACAGGAACAGCACGGTCAGACTGATGAAAACCAAAGATGAAGAGTCAGTCTTAAAAGCAGCCAGTGAGAAGGGGATCCAACATAAGAAGGGCACTTGACTTCTCACAAGAAATTATGTAGATCAAGAGACAGTGGAACAACACTTTGAGTTTGAGAAAGAAAAAAAAAATCCGTTAACCTAGAATTCTATAGCCAGCAATAATATCCTTTTAAAAAGGAGGGTGAAATAAAGGCATTTTCAGATAAATGAATGCTAGCGAACTTGTTGCCAGCAGAAATGTACTACAAGAAATGTGAAAGGAAGTACTTTAGGATGAAGGGAAATGATATCATATAAAACTCAAGATTGGCAGGAAAAGAAGAGGAAGCTAATAGAAATCTTTGAGCTGAATGCATTCGAAAAGATAACATCAAAATTTTTGAGATTCAGCTAGATTAGTACTTAGAGAAACATTTCATGCATTAAATGCCTATTTTTGAAAAGAGAAAAGGTTTTAAATAAATAATATAAGCTTCCACCTAGAGAGAAATAGAAGAGTAAAATAAACCCAATGTAAGCAGAAGGAAGGAAACAGGAAGAGATAAGAACAGAAATCAATGAAATCAGAAACAAAACAAAACAATTTAGAGACCATCAATGAAATCAAAAGACGGTACTCTGAAAACATCAATAAAATTGATAAAACTCTAACAAGAATGAAAAGGACAAAAACTGGCAATATCAGGAATAAATGGGGGAAATAAGTGTAGACTCTCCAGATATTAAAAGGATAAAAGGAATATATGAACAAGTATCTGTATACAAATTCAAGAACTTTGATAAAACAGCCCAATTCCTTAAAACTCATAAACTACCTAAATTCACCCAAGATGAAAGAGATAACCCAAATATGCCTAACCAATATTCCGCATGAACATAAATGCAAAAATTCTCAACAAAACATTCGCAGATTGAGTCCACTGATGTACAAAAAGAAGACTACACCACACAAAATGTTTTTTTTTCCCCAGGAATGAAAGGCTAATCCAGCATTTGAGAATAAACCAACATAATCCACCATATCAACAATCTAAAAAAGAAAAACGTGGTCACATCAATGATGTATAAAAAGTATTTAACAAGACTCCATGTTCATTCATGATTTTAAAAAAAGCTCAGTAAATGAGGAATGCAAGGGAGCTTCCTCACCCTGATAAAAGACATCTACAAAAAATCTACAGTTAATGTCATACCTACTGGTAACAGACTGAAGGTCCTTCCCCTAAGACTGAGAATGTGCAAGAATATCTGCTCTCTCCTCTCCTATTAAACATCATGCTGAAAGTCCTAGCTGGTGCAAAAAGGGAGAGAGAAAAGAAAAAGGAAGGAAGACACCAATGGAAGGATATTCTACAAAACTGTTAGCCAATAACATTTTTAAACATGAAGGTCACAAAAGTCAAGGGAACACAGAGAAACTATTCCTGATCAAAGAAGGCTAAAGAGATACAACAAGCAGGTATCATGTGTGATCCTGGATTAGATCCTTTTCTTATAAAGTTTATTATCATACAATAATAATTTATTATGACAATAATAATAAATCTGAATGGAGTCTTGGTACTATGCAACTTTTCAAAATTATTTTTAAATAAAAAGTTTGTGTAAAAAAGGACAAGAGAAAGGAAAAGTGTTAAGATTAGACTGGAAAACAAAACAAAACACCAAACTAGCCCTATTCACAGATGGTATGGTTATCTATGCAGATAATCCCAAAGAATATACTAAAAATCCTCTAATAAGTGAGTTTAGCAAGGTCACAGGATACAAAGTCAACACACAAAATCAGTTACATTTCTACAGACCAGCAATGTATATTTGGAAAATTTAAAAAACAATGCTATTTACAATCACTCTCTCCACAAATGAAATATTTGGGCATAAATAAATATAACAAAACACGCACATAATCTATATGCTGAAAACTACAAAATGCTGATGAAAGAAATCACAGAAGATTGAAATGTGAAGAGACATACCATGTTCATGGATTGAAAGATTCAACATCATAAAGATGTCGGTTATCTCTACAACAATCTATAGATTTAACATAATTCCAATAAAAATACAGAAAGATTTTTTAGTAGATATAGACACACTGATTCTGAAATTTATATGGAAAGGCAAAGGAAACAGAATAGCTAAAGCAGTTTTGAAGAAGAATAAAATGGGAGAAATCTGTCTATGATTTTAAGACTTACGATACAGCTACAGTAATCAAGACCATTTGGCGCTGGAGGAGAGAGACACACAGATTTGTGAAATGAAGCAGGTAACCCAGAAACAGATCCACACAGTGACCAGCTGATTTTTGGCAGATGCGCAAAAGCGATTCAATGAGTAAAGCGTAGATTTTTTTCCAACAGATAGTGCTGGAAAATTTGACTTCCGTCTACAAAAAGATGGACTTTGATACAGCATTGGGAATGCAGTCAATAATACTGTAATAACTACATATAGTGCCAGGTGGGTACTGGACTTATTGGAGGGATCACCTCACAAGTTATGTAAATGTCTAATCAGTATGTTGTACACCTGAAACTAATATAATATTAAATGTCAACTGCAATTGAAAAATAAGTGAAATGAAATTAAAAAGTGAACTTTGACTAAATCTTATATCTTATTCAAAAATGAACTCAAAATGGAGCATAGATTTAAAAGTAAGACATAAAACTTCTATATAAAACTTCTAGAAAAAATACAAAGAAGAAAATCTTCATGGCCTGGTTATAGGCAAAGAGTTCTTAGACATGATACCAACAGCACGATCCATAAAAAAAAATTGATATATTGTACTTTTTAATGAAAAATTAAAACTTTTGCTCTGTAAGAGATACTGTTAAATAAAAAGATAAGCTACAGTCTAGGAGAAAATATTTGCAAATTATATATCTGACAAAGGATATCCAGCATACACGAGCAACTCTTAAAACTCAGCCGTAAGAAAATAAACAATTCAAATTTATGAATGGGCCAAGGACTTGATCAAAATACTTCACCCAAGAGGACACATAGATGGCAAATAAGCATATAAAAAGTTGTTTAACACCATTTGCAATGAGGAAAATCCGAATTAAAACCATGATGAAATACAATTACCCACATAGTAAAATCAAGCACTGTTAAGAATGCAGACGAACCGAAACTGTTATACTTTGCTGGCAGGAGTGAAAATGGTACTGTCACTCGAGGAATCAGTAGCAGTTTCTGATAAACATCTATATTCTATATGACCCAGAAATCCCACTCCTGTTATTTACCCAAATGAAATGGTAACTCTTGTCTTCACACACTAACTT